CGCGCAAATCCATAACTCGGGGTTCTGAGGTGCTAGAAAGCTGAAATTTTAGGGGAATGTTCCCCGCCCTTCTGTACAAGAAGGGAACGCGAGAGTCTGTGCACAGCGCAGACCCCACCTACGGATGATAGGAAGGGTGGGATTCACTGCCTGTGTTCAAAAGTTCGTGCCAAAGGCGATGATGAGTCATAGTCCTCCCTACCCTGTGTACGCGCAGTCCGCACCGCGCGCGCACTCCGTCCTTACTCGTGTGCAGCGGCCGCAGTCTACCACCACAATATCTTCTGGGCAACTTTTTGTCATTCGCGACAGCCAGGTTCGTATATTTGTTTAAGCGTTTCCACAGCCGCGGCAGTGGCGTTAAATCACTTTCATTAGAAGTTCTACGGCAGCAGCCGAGTCCAATTCAGAAATTCCAGAAAAAGTGCTCTTGCGGCGTCAGCCCCCTCATTTAGCATTCTCGGCAAAAACGATACCTTTTCGCGGCGACAGCTACTTTCTACAACTCTGACAACAAAGAAGTCCTTTTGTGGCGGCAGCCCCATTATCTACCATTTTCGACAGGAGTAAAAGCCTTCCTCGGCGACAGCTACTTCCTACTTTCACAACAGCGAAGCTCCTTTGCCTCGGCAGCGCAACACCAAGTTCGACAACTTCAAACATCTATTGTGGCGACAGTTCCTTTATCTAGCGCTCCGACAACAAAAAAACCACACTTCGGCGACAGCCAATCCTATTCGGACAACAGCAAATTCTTTTTGTGGCGACAGTCCAACTTATTATTTAATATATAATACTTCGCTTTTTCAGACGCACCACTGCTAGGTAAGCTTTCTTGCTTTCAACAATCAAACAGATTGTTCAATAGCTGTGTTCTTTTTTCTCATTTTTTTTCGCACCAAGTTTTTTCTATTCCCTAATTACTATTTTAAATGAGGAAACGTAATATGTATTCGGCCTATGTATTTTACGTGCAAAGCAGATAGTTAATTTACTGATGATTCATCATTTCATCATTTTCTCTTCATTT